GGTGACCACTCGCAGTAAGAATGCATGTCTTTCAAAGCATTTTTAGCAATAATAACATCTTTGCAAGATCTCAAAGTTTAGTGCTTTACTGTGGAACATTCTAGGCACATCTCCATGGAGGAAAACCTGTGGCAGATCCCCCACCCAAAAAGTTATAAAATGCCCTTTTAAAGCAGAAAGTTCATCATATTAATTACTACTTTTTATTATTTTCTGGTTATACTTTGAAATAGATAAGATTAGATTGTCCTCAAGTTGTTTTTTAAAACCAGTATATTGTCACAAGCGTCCATGTGCACTGTACCAAACCTTTTTGCAAATCAACCCTAGAACTTCCTAGAATAAGTCTTCTTTGTAAGAAAGACATTGCACTTGTATATAGGCCTATTTCCAAATCTTATTTCACTTATCACTATGCCCTAGAACAACAGTATAAATCTATATACAGTAAATGTGTTTAGCACAGTCAGTTATTGAATAAAACATTGTTCAAAGACATTTTAGTTTTCATGATTTTACATTAGGCCTTAAAAATATCAGATAAAATGCTTCAAGGGTCCTCAAAGGTCGTATCAGGGCAAGGCTAGCGTCATCTGTGCTGCCCCGTGTCTGTTTTGCTCTTAATAAGACGGATAATCTCATTGGATGATAACATCTTTTATGTGATATGCCATGACTGCCAGCAACATTTTAGTAATTATAGAAGTTTGTTTTTGGATGCAGCCCAAAATACATGTAATGGAAAAAATATCTTAACTGATGTATGTCATATGATCTTGTTATATAGTATAGTGTTTATCCAACGCAAAGGACAAAACACTAAACCAGGTTTAAATCTTGTCATAATAAATTCTGAAGCAAGGCTAAACAGGTTCTTAGAATGTTTTATCATTTACACATTGCATTAATACTCAATATTAAACTGAGACTAATCCTGAACCAGGACTAAAACAGGACCATATCAAGTCTACATCAGGACTATATTGGGCCAGAGACCAAACAAGGACAAATGTGAAGGCACCCTAATTGAACCTTGAACTACTCCAGGACTAAAGCAGGACTAAACTTGAACTAAAGCAAAACTAACACAACTCTATGTAGATCAAAAACCTTGATTTATTCAGGATTAAACAAGGACTGATCCAGGCTAAAACCCACTATCAATTCAAATTCTAGGCTAAACCAAAACTAAGACTAAACCAGGACTGAATCAGAACAATGAAGGTCTAACCCAAGGACTTAGCAATCAAAAACATAAGCTTTCTCAAGTGTATAGTTACTTTATACTTATGCCTTGTTTTGCATTATGTGACCAGCAGAGGGCAACCTTACCCACACCTCTCTCACACACAGTTGATTTTTACCTTCCCTTCCTGTCTCACCAGTATCCATGAGGACGAGGATCTGAGTCCGGAGCAGAAAGCAGAGCGTGAACGTGAGAGGAGGATGGCCAACAACGCTCGGGAGCGTCTGAGGGTCAGAGATATCAATGAGGCTTTCAAGGAGCTGGGACACATGTGTCAGCTTCACCTCAAGAGCGAAAAACCCCAAACCAAACTGCTAGTGCTGCACCAGGCTGTGGCCGTCATCCTGAGTCTGGAACAACAAGTCAGAGGTAAGGTGGAATCACTGTATATAATGTATATATACTCAAATGATACAAATAAATGCAACAAATAAGATTTGATTTATTGATCCTCAGGAAAAATGTGATATAAATTATAGGAATGGGGCAATATCTCATGCCACAAGATTTCGTAAGATAAAATTTCCAATATTGTGCACAGATGTGGAAAATAATGTGTTTTCATGTAGCTTGGGCAAAAAAAAGGGTAAAGTGTTTATCAGTTATATTTAATCATTTAAGACATGTGTATAAAAAGTTGTTCTACATTATTAAAAAAGCTATGTTTCAAAATCTCATCTTGTCTCATTTTCTGACCCAATTTTACCTCTCAGCTTTTGTAAATTCTGTCTTGTCCCATCCTTAATGAATTGCCATCTCTAAAAAGATATAAGAGCAGTAGTATGTACATGCACAAATAAAATAAGTTGTATAGCACTGAAAGAAACAAGATATTGATGATAGCAAATGTTTAAAAATAAGTTTTACCATGTTGTGAATCTTTGTGGTTAAATTGCAAAATTTGGCTGACAAGTGGCTCATTGTGAGTTCAAGTCTGGTATCTATCTGTGAACACATTTGACATACAAGATACAGCTGGGCATACTAAAATATTTATTCAAAATGTGAGTGTAATTGTGATATTTTGTGATTACTTAACTTTGAAGAATGTCTTGGTCTATAATCTTAACTAAAATAATAATTGTGCATTTAACCTCTGTCACTCTAATATGCTGTTGATATTTATTTATATTACAGAGAGGAACTTGAACCCAAAAGCAGCCTGTCTTCGGAGACGAGAGGAGGAGAAGGCTGCAATCATGTCTGATCCTCAGTCCATGCATTTAGCTTTCCACCCTGGACTTACAGACCCAGGGAACCCAATGGGCCACATCTGAAAACAAACAAGGTATTTAGCTTTGATTTTGCTCATTATTCTTTCTTCTTATTTAGCATTTCAGTATTGGTTAATGTGCTGTGTTTTTTGTGCAGATACACAAGGAGATAGAGATCTTTCTGAATTTGGACCAGTGGAGAGTTTGACTTCTCCATGTGATGCAGTTGAACAATCATCTCCTCGCTTCCCAAACAAACTTCTTACATTGTGCCTAAACGTAATAGACAAAAGCATTGTACACTGCAGATATTTTTTATGTATATATCTTGTTAATATTTCAGTTTGAATATAAAGTAAAAGAACATGTCATCTGCAGTTTTTGATGTAATTCAGAATCATTTTTACAGTGTGTGTGATCCAAGGGTGACGGACATTCCTACATTGGTGTGTTAAGATTTCTTTTGCCCTGTGTGTTTGTGTGAGCGAGTTTTGCAGGAGTTTTGACCATTCTGTGAATGAACTATCTCCAGGAATGTCCCTAATGTGTGTGCATTACAAAGTATACAGTATATTTGTGGTTATATATTTGTGTTTTAGCATTGGCTAATGAAACATCTCTCGACATCTCTGTATAACTATGGCTACTAGAGCTAGATCATGTCTTTTGTAAATTATTAAGTTATCTTTTATACAAATATTTTAAGTATTACTCTGTAATAACATCATCATTGTTGTTTATATTTCTTTTCTTATGTTTTCTAGAAGTAGCCATATTTTCTGAGCAATATGTCCCCATGTGTTTTTGCTCCTTATAACATGAACAATGCTCAAAAACCTAAAAGTAATCTGAAATACTGTAAAGTATGTGTACAGTTTGAAGTAGCCTACAGGCATGTGTCATAACAAATTGTAGCAATAAATGTCTTTTTACAAAAATACTGTGTATCCTTTTGTGGTTTTGTCATTTATGAAAGTGTTTATCTATAGCTGAATCTGTCTGTCTTATTTTTGAATTATAAAGAGTTTGAAAGCCTACAGATTTTAATTGTCTTATTATCTCATTGAAGGTCATGACAAAAATCTACATTCATCTGAAATCATAGCAATTGGAGTTGAGGGTAGTGCACTTATTTTTTGCACCATTTTAAACAAAGGCTAACTAGTTCTATTGGCTGTTCTTTGTTTTTGTCTTTGGGAGGATTTTATTGCTCTATCCCACTGACAGACTTTACATCCTGGGCGTGGCCATTTTTCTTACTTTAAAATCACTTGAGTATTAACCTCTTTGTATTTCCCTTACAAGCTTGGGAGGCAGTCCCATTGTCTTACCATTAACTTATCTTTTCACGTTCATTAAGGATCAGTAACTGGCCCAATTTGCATAAGAGTGGGAAAGTCTGATTCGAGGAGGGCGCAGTGAAGGCATCTCGGTGCGGGATGGTCCTGCGCCTCTCCAAACACTCACAAGGACGCACGCCGGCCGGGTAGGTGTCAACTCTTTTTCTACCTCAATAAACACTTAACAGTTGTTTTAATTATATATAAACTTATATATGAATCTCACTATACCTAAACACCTTACGTTTACTTAGTGCCAAGTTACGTTTTCACAATTTACAGAAGGCTACAGTGTCTTGCGTTGGGAAAAGTTAACGTCGGGAATGTAGGCTACCTTTATCTACCGGATACAGTTATGTGTTAGAAAAACTGAAGCTAAACCAGGCAAGTGTCCTGCGTTTGTAATATGGGATCTTTGTTCAAGTCTAAGCGGATAAAGATCGCAGCTAAATAAGCGTTTCCTCACGAAGTTGTCAGACCACACTTTACTGTAGAGTTGCATTAAAGTTTATGCAAGACTAACAGGCCAGGTTGATTTAATCTATCCGACAGATTGTAATAACTGCACGATATTGCACAATTAAAGGTGCACTAAGCAACGTTTCTGGTGGGAGGTCCGCTACAAACTTATCTCCACAAGGGTGGCTTTGCCTGGAAAGTTCCACAGTGTGGCATTGAATAAGATATTAATTTGTATGTGTTAAACTGAACATGTTATTTTGGAGAAAAAAAACAACACACACATATACACACAAAAGAGAACTGGAAAAACAGGATCTTACTGTGGGCATACAGGGTGGCCTCTCCACAGATCTAATCAGTAACTTGGCTCAGTGGAGTCATCTACTTATGTTTATGGATATATTTATTGGCATGCTGTGGGACATTCTAGTCAACTCGATTTGCAGAACATTTATGCAGCCTGTATGCCTATAAGCCCACCAATATAAAAGAAGTATTGAAGTATTTTGTCAAATATCTGTTGTAGAAGGCTGTATGTTAACTGCTGTATATCTATTGCACTGATATTGTAAATGAATGTTGTAATTTCACCAAACCCCTTTTGCACAGGCTAATAACGCACTGTGTGATTAAAAGGCATTTTTGTAAATTTGTTTTGTGTGTAACATACACTGGATCAAGTTCTAAAATGAACAAGGCTAAGTTTTATTTTTCATATGAATGTTAGTTTGTAGGTAAATTCTTTTTTACTTTAGTTGTCAAAAGTCATCTCTGTCCCTCATTATAAATCAGGGTCTCTAGTGTAACTGGGTGACGGCAGCTCTTGCCCTGGTCCAGTTGTATTCGTCACGTTGTGCCCCGCTCCTTGTAAACAATCCCCCTCTGTCACTCACACACTGAACTAACTGTCTTCATTTAGCCTCAATATCAGCCTCTTGTCTGTGTCTCTTATTCTCTTTATGTTGTCCCTGCCGTCATCCGTCATTGTTACTGCAGAGACTTGGGCTCATTGTTGTGTAAACACCACTTTTTTGCTTGACCAGCCTGATAGGTTCTCACTTTCCCATGATCCACCTGAGCTTGCCAATGTCATGAAATTAACCTGTGTTTGCTTAGTGGTGAGAATATGAAGAAGGAAAGCAAGCAGCACATTATTACAAAAACAAGCAATCTCCAGACCAGTAACAATAGAGCGAGTTATGTTTGGATGTGTTGAAGTTTAATTCTATTCAGGGTAAACTGAGACTAAATAAAACATGCACTCAGCTAGTAAAATATTTGGGTCAAAACAGCATTTAACACGTAAGCAATACTAGTTCAAGAAAATGTAAACTAAGGGTCAACTGGGGCTTAAATAAGGATACATTACACGTGACATGCCTGCTAGGCCTGTCACGATAACAAATTCACGACAAAAGCACAATTTATATTAATGCAGTTTCTAGTGGAAACTTTAGTTGTGTCTTTAGGCAAGACACTTCACTAACCTTGCCTATAGTATGAATGTGGCATGTGAGAAAATGATTGTTGGAGTTCGGAGGGGTCGATTGCACAGATTGGCAATAGTAATGATATTTTCTTTGACTAAAAAGTTTGCAATATAGAAAAAAACTCTTTAATTTCTACAGGTAACAGATCTTCACCTTAGTTCCACCATGCAGTCCCATCGGCAGAACAGTTCACAGGACATCAGAGTGGTCAGAAGTCCCTCTGGTCAGGACGGCATGTTTGGAGTCCGAGTTCAAGTTCAAGGCATCAAAGGCCAGCCATTTGTGATCCTCAACAGCAATGACCAAGAGAGCCCTCGAGATGTTTCTGTTATCACCCACCAGCCCGGATACAACCCGGGGGTCACAACACGGAGGGCTGCAGACGACAGGCACTCTCCAGCGGGGACAAATCGAAGTACAGGATCTCCTACTTTTAATTTTCATAAGCATCCTGAAATTTTGAGACCTTACAACCCTGACAGCAACGACAACAGTATACTCCTGCCGTCACAAGTGGCAAAACGGTCTGCTCTCAATGGTAATGCATCAAAACCAAGGATCCCCCTACCAGCTGAAGGTTCAGAGATATATGAAGCGCCCCCTATAGGAGGACAAAAACCTCCTAAATCTCCAAACACCATAGACACAGACCCATTCATGTCTGTGGGCAAACTCATAAGTCAGTTTAACAGCAGTCAGCAGCAGAGGGGCAGGCGAGGACCCAGATCTAGACTGGATCTAGAACAGTGCAGGAGGTCTCGGAGTGTGGACAGTGGGAGGGCCTCTGACTCTTCATCCTCCTCTTCCTCCAGTCGTGCATCATCTCTCAGAGGGGTGAAAGGGGAGACTCCAGGTGGGGTGTACCCGCCTGGTTCGGCCCGGGCCAGACTGCTCAGTGGAGAGGGGAGTGTAGTTAAAAAGAAGGAAGATGTTAAACCAAGTAGACTGACCGAAAGCCATGGAGCAGAAGTAATAACGCCGCAGGCAGTGAGATTGGTTCAGCGTTCAGTGTCTTTCAGGTCCAACAGTGATCCAACAGATGGGAGCGAAAAAAGGGACACTCAGGTAAACAATATACTATATGAGGAAAACCAATATTTAGGGCTGCATATGATGAGAAGAAAAATGCAAAAGTATATTAGTAGTACTAAGTTGATATACAATTTTGATAAAGAGACTTGAGTGAATTTTAAGATTCTGTATTTTCTAAGAAATTGTGTAAACATAAAAAAGAGAGAGAACAATCACAAAGCAATGTAAGGACTATGAAATTTGTACAAATTTGACTCACAATACCAAAAAGGGCAAAATGATACAATATTTTTTTTGTTCTATTTTGGATTGGTATCATATAAAGTCATTCTAGTGTTATCAGTGAAGATGTTATTGTTTTTATGGGTCATATGTTCCCTAACCAGGTCACTCCTGATCTTCTGAAAGGGCAGCAAGAACTCACAGTGGATCCGACTGAAGATGCTACAAAACAAGTTCTGTTCACCTACTTACAAGAAGGGTGAGCAATCAAGGCAATGATAAAACTAATCATGTATGTTTCTTTAAAAATGCCAATCGAAATTTTATCAAAACTTAAAACAAAACTGGAATCAGACTGGTACCAACTTTTGATTTAGGATTCAAAGAAAAAAAAAGAATATCTATGATCTAATGTCATTGTAACATGACATAACAATCTGTACGCCAATGTAAAACAAATTACCAACACATAATTCAGCAAACCCCTTTTCAGTTACATAATAGGTCAGTTAAAACATGGCATTATGTTGTTCTTGTGGTCATTTGTTTTAACATCCTTAAGGTTGTGAGATAAGGAGGTGCCTCTCCAGCTGCGTGAACTCAAATACAGCGCTGAGGAATGCAGAACACGGACTTCCACATCACTGATAATAAAAAGAAAGTTTAAAGACTATCAGGGCTGAAACATTTGCTGAATTGACTTTGTTTTTGTTTTTGTTTTTACCAAACCTGTTTAAATAGACAATGCTGGTACCCCTTTATAATAACTACACTTTTAATAATTCATAATGCTAATAATAACTAATTCATAATGAACAAATAGTTTATTAAGAATTAAGAATAAATCGCAATATTTATACTTACTGACTTTACTTAGAAATAATTTACATTACTTGACATTTACACAAAATTAGATGAACTGTTTTTGTAATCAAATATTTATATTACATTTGCTCACAGTGGTGGTTGATTTTACTAGCAATCGTTTCTGTAGCAAGAGTATATATAATAGTATATATATATATATATATATAGTATTGTAATATTGTAATATTCTAAGTGTTGTAGCAAAGGAGTATTCTGCAAACTTAAAACTTGTAGTTGTAGTTTTACTCAAGTCATTTTAAAACTATTATTTTTACTTATTTTTGAATAAAAAAATGTATTTCTAATTGAACTCAATTTTGCACCGCTTCTTCCACCTCACCTTTGTTGGTCACTGAAAGGGAAATATTTGCTTTTTCAGGACGACTGACGATGACTCCACGACTGAGATGAAAGTGAAGCTTCTGCTGGAGCGGATAAACAGATTAAAATGGAGGACAGCGGAGAATGTGGAGGAGGAGGAGAGAGTGAGTGGCCTGTTACATGATCAAATAATCTGCTGTTATA